ACACACACACACACACACACACACACACACACACACACATCAAATAACCTGAATGAGTTTTGGTAACAGCCTGTAAAAATCAGAAACCTCAGCAGAGGTGAACATCCTGATTTCTCTGTATTTATTCGTTAATAATTTTGATGTTCACATCTTTGATTAACTGTTTCATCACTGACATCTTCCTGAGGTCCAGGATTCATTTCTGAGCCCAACACTTTGAACTTTTTAAAACTCCACCAAGCCGATGAGGATAAGATTCAAACCCACGATTAGCAGGCCATCGCCTTAACCACTCAGCCACCTCGTCCCTGCATGAGCGTGTCCCTGCGGAGGACACAGCAGGACTTCATGTAGACATAATGAGTCCATCTGCTGTATCGTCCTTTCTGCTGTCGGGGCTTCAGCTCCTCTCAGCGTTGATCCTAAACCCTGATCCCAGAGCAGTGTGTATCCATGTCTGTGTGTGTGTGTTACCTGTGCTGTCTCAGTGTGTGTCGCAGCTCTCTGGTTTCCAGTTGTAGCCTCTTCTTCTCTGCTTCACTGTGGTCACACACACACCTGCCTCCCTGCAGACACACACACACACTGTTATCAGTTCAGTATCAGACCGGCGTGAGGTTTGAAGCAGCTGAGCTACATTTAAATTTATTTTGATGATTTCAAACACGTCATCAGACTGAAGCGATTCTGTGGATTCACTTACACCCTCGCACCTAAAGAGGGCGACACGTCCTTACTGTCGTCTTCCCCACAGAGCTCTTTGTTTAGTTCACAGTGATCTGTGATGTGATGAGTAGCACTGTGTAGGAAGACTCACACTGAGTTCAGCATGCACAAACCACCGCCCCCCATCCTCAGCACCGGTCCCAGTCCTGGTTCCAGTCCTGCTTCTCACCCGGTCCAGCTTTAGCCTGTGAGCCTCGGATGGCTCGGCCTTGGGGGATCGCAGGTCTTGGTCCCAGTGAGCGTCTCCGTCCAGCTCGTCCACAGATTCCTGAGAGGAAGTCAAACACAGCAGGCCTCCTTCTAAGCGATTAAAGGTATTCCCGGAAAATCTCAGAGTCTAAAAACAGCGTAAAAACCTCAAAAGATGAAACAAAACCAAACAGAAGGTGAGAAAACCTGACGACAGCCGGACTGTCGTGTAAAAACAGCACCCCCTGGAGGTGCGTTAGTTACATCACATATAAAAGTGTTCCATTGTAGACTGTGCGTGTGTGTGTCTGTTTGTGTGTGTGTAGAGGAAGGAAAAGAAAAACAGAAGGGAAGAGGGACAGTGAGAGAGGCACTTAAAAAGAGAAAGAAGAGAAAAAAATCTCCTGGATCAGCTGTTGAGAGAAAAAGAAGAGAAAACAAGCAAAAACAACAGAGCGACATACTAAACACAACACCATCACGTTAATCTAGGGATAGACATACATGGACACTGTACACACAATCACACTCCCCAAACAAACTCTATACCCCAGGTCCAGGTACCCTCATCCCTGGAGGGGGAAACGGCACCTAGCCAGAGCCCTAGCACGGAGGCGAAGCACCCCCAAACCCCAAGCCCCCACGCCTGCCCCGGATCCACTCAGGGGCAGCCAGGCTACCAGGCCAGTAACCTACGTCCGCCAGCACAGACCCTCCCCCAGCCCTGCTGCACGCAGACACAAGGAGAGGGAGAGTACATGGGGATCTGCCAGGCCTGGGAGCCGCTGCCAGTCCCTTCGAGGCCTTCCCCAAACCGTAGTTCAATTCATGTTTAAGCCATTCACCTTTATCTACTAAAATGCTGTCAAACCTAAAATGAGGACGCGGGCCCAGCGAGTGAAATGACAATGACATTTTTGCACAGATTTGTCCTTTGCAAGGCATGTGGTCCTAAACTTTTTGTCAGCTGTAAAACATCTGTACGTATATAACATTTATAGTGCTATGTGTGTTTTTAAAAGCTCTTAGTATATTTGAAGTATTTGAACTCTGCTGGACGGCAGCAGACATCTCCTCAAAGGAAGCATTTAATTACAAACCTCAGTGGTTTCCTCTCTGTTGAAGACTTTGCTCCTTCCCTTCCTTCCTTTCCCCCCCGAAGTCTGGGCAGTCACAGTCGGAGCTCATTCAGTCATCTGAACACGAGCAAAGGTGTTTCCTTTGTTTTCTCCTTTAGGAGATGAGACACTGGAGTGTCCTATGATGGAAAGGGCTGATATACACCCCACGCTGAACTCTGCAGCAGCTCTGAAACTTTAAGATCACGGTAGACATTAGGCTAGCTGTGAGGGACATGGGCTTACCTGCTGCTCTCTGGCAGGTAGCTCCATGCCCTCCTGGGTTTTAAATGCACCTTAGAACACACATGCATCAACACTACAATGAGCGGGTGGAGGGAGGTTTGGAGTCTTCTCTCACCCCCATTCTCTGCGACCTGCTGGAGCGGGGGGGCTAGGAGGAGGAGTTGGCCGTCCGACTGCGGTCTGGAGTGTGGGGCCTCCCTGCTGCTGCGGAGTAAAGAAAAGAGAATTTGATCATTAACTTGATCATGTTTGTTAATTTAACATTAACAAACAATTAACAGCAGCCTTCTAAACGTGCTTTATACTGTAAGGTAAAGACCCTGTAATCATACAGAGAAACCCAAACAATCACATATAAGCAAGCACTTGGCGACAGTGGGAAAGAAAAACTCCCTTTTAACAGGAACCTCTGCACCTGCCCCAGCCCTGCCGATGCTCCTCACCACATTCTCTAATAA